GGAGAAGCCACAAGACAGAGCATCTGCACTTGCTGTTGTGCCATTTCCCTTGTAAGACAGCCCTGGCCACCGTCAGACAAGACCAGACTCTTTAATCCCTCTGTGGTGCCATCCCTTTAATGCTGAACTACCCACTAACAAGAAATTTTGGGGGGGGTTCCTCTGTATTCCCACCCCCCAAATGCCCTCTCTGCTTGCAGAAAGCTCTTGTGAACCTTACATTTTCTTCAAGCTCACGGTATGCTTCGGCCACCTCTTTCCCGTCTCCCAGGCTGGGAAGCTGCCCTGCGGAGGGGGCACAGCCGCCGTTGCACTGGCTCTTTCCATGCAACGACTCACACACCGCTTTCTCCGTGGCGTTTATGGCTCTCAGTACTTTGGCGGTGATTTCGCTCAAAGCCTGAGCCGATGACCTCTGCAAACGCCCAGCACAGCCAAAGCGGAGGGTGAGAGGGGGAAAAAAATAAGGATGTTATTTTAACGTGGTGTACAAAACAATGCAAGTCAGGGGTGAAAGGGGCATCAGACCTTCAGGAGCTGGAGAAAGATGGAGAAGCGGTAATTAAAGCGCTTACGCTGTTCCTGAAGGGCTCTCCACCGGAGATGAATGCGTGGCTAAAGCAGAGCTTTGATCTCAGCCCATGCTTTCTGGAGGATGGCTGTGACAAAAGAAGTCATCTCAAAAGGCTTGGAAAAGAGGTTATCAAGGGATGTGTTTCTTGCTGGAAGTGGTGCCACTGGAGCTGTCTGACAGCAGCAGCACCTGGCCACCTGAAGGCCACTCAGTTACTCAGCAGTTAAGGTCTAATTGCAGCATATTGCTTTACACTTCAGCAGGCCTAAGCACGGATGCAAATAACTCCTTAAGTTTGTGGCAAAAAAAGATAAAAAATCCAACCCATAAAATTATTGTATTGTCACACTGCCAGAACTTGGGACTAATGTCCCCTTCCCACCCCAAGGAGCACTGATGGCTCCTTTCACAGCACTGAGTGCTGCCTTTCACTTGATAAGGCACTAAGCACTAAGCACATGCAAAAATAGATTGAAGAAACTCATCGTCTCTCTCTCAACTGATAATTCCCCAGAAACCAAGGAGATGGGGGTGATATATGTACTGGCGACAAACAGTTGTGTTTACAACTGCATGTATTTCCAGGCAAGCCATCCTGCAGAGAATCAGCTAACTCAGTCCAGCTGATATTTTTATCATTTTATGGTGCCTTCATGGTACAGCAGAGTTCTTGCACGTTTTCCATTAAGGGTGTGGGCTTTTATTGCCATGTTCCCTAGTTAGAAGACTTCCTCCTGTCTGGAGAGGAGACTTACATGAAAACAAACTCAGAATCATGCTTACTCCAATTCTGGATCTGATCTAAGTATGAGGAAAGTTGCTGTTAAAAAAGCCACACTGACACAGCCTTTAACCAATGGTGGTCCATCTACACATCACTGCAGGCATTTCTAACTCAATACTGCAAGAAGGTATTTGACACTTTGAGTGTTAGCGCAATGCAAAAAGCTAAATTTTTCTTCACTTCTCAGATTCAGTTTTGCTTGGGTTTGGTTTTGAGTTGTTGCAACCCAGCTGGTTTTGCTTAGGAGCTGTCGTACGGCTCCTGTGTTAGCTGCCTGCAATACCCCACTGAAAAACAAAAACTATGCTTATATTCTCCCTGCTTCATACCTGGGTTTTGGTCAAAGAAAGTATCAAATCTAGAGAATCCAGGCTTCATTTTACGAGAATCAAGATGCTTACACTGATACCCTGCTAACATCTCCTTGTTCCTCAGTGCAGGTCAGGGTTTGAGCCTGTCTGCTGCAGATCAGACACAGGAATTAAGTTACCTTGGCTTGGTGAGACTTATCCACTGTGCTGCAATTAGCTGGAAATGGTTACAAAGAAGATGCACATCATTCAGCCCATGAGTAGTAGTTAAGTCTGTCTGCAGCGATCATACAAAAGCAGCTTTTAGGAAACAGGAGGCAGTAAAGGAGGCTCTTGGTAAGGATGCAGCACACCGCTGATCGAATGGCAGTAAGAGCACAGCAAATGGTACCCAAAAACACGGGGGAAGCTGTCCTGGGAACACTTGCTTGCTCTAATCCTGAAATTTCACATAGAGCTGTGCAGGGACTCATACCTGAGACAGACTCACTGAAGGCACCACGCAGACTCACTAAATGTGTACATGCAGCCACACTGTCCAAGCCCAGCAGCAGCCAGGTTTTGTCTTGTGAGGCTGAGGAGCAAAAGAACATTAAGGACAGGCTTCGTGGCACCATGAAAGTCTCCACAGCCTTGGCTGAAAGGAGCTTTGGCAAGAGAGGAGAGGGGCAGCACAACCCCCGCTCGCTCCCTTCATGCTCACCAGATGCAGATGTGTCAGAGCAAACGCACGTGTACCCCATGCATTGCCAAGGCAGAAGGAAGGAGATGAACAAATAAGCCATTAGAGATCCAACAAGGAATGCTGATCTCTCCATTTTGTGCTAATGGACTGTCTCAGGAGGCTACACGCAACTGGAGACATGCAAGTTTTCCCTTTCTTTGGTGCGTGTCTGAGTCAGCTGGGCTGTCATCGGCTGCTCGTCCCTGGTGCTGTCACCCAGCCCGACCACCTGTCAGGTGAGGTGAGGGGGAAGCGGTCCAGTGCCTCTGTCTGCTCTCGCTTTCCAGCCAGGGAAGTGACTCCCCTGCAAGGCTGCACACGAATGAATGCCTTTCCATCCTTGCCGTGGGGATACATGGGGGAAAAGTAGATCTCCAAAATGCACCCAGCAGGCAGGGGGATAAATCAGAGCTGTGCTGGGCCATGGGGGTGAGGGACCCTCTGGGGTGATGGGAACAGGGCTGTATAGATGCTGTGAACCCTCCTCCTCTCCCTGACACACGTCCCCATGGATGACCCACCACTGAGTAGGGGACAGGAGCCAGCACAGTGCTGTAAGTACAGGAGGTGCTGAACTAGCAGAGTGAAAGCAGGACTAGGGATTTTGGGAGTCCCTTGCCTAGCACAGGAGCACTGACAGGTCTGGAAGAAACATTTCAGGCTGTAGCAGGTGCCTGATAAAGGCTGCCAGTACTAAATCGTCACTGAGCTCTTGTCCTACCCCAGGATTCTATTCTCCATAATGACATCCAGATCCTGAGACAAGTCCTCTAAGCAGATGTGGAGGTTGTGTACTGCTCCATGGCAGGCAGTAGCCTGCAAGGCCTCTAAGAGACTCTGGTTTTGACTCCAGAATGAGACTGGGAGAGCCTACAAGGACAGAGGTCCAGATCCAACATCCTGGGACTTCCCTATCCCTTGACACCCCATTTAAGCAGGTAACCAAGCCAGACAGCCCTGGGAGGCATCGAGGTGGAGGTGTGGGACAGAACAAGAGATGCATTACCATGATGTAAGCTATAAGCCACTGAGAGCAGAAGGAACTGCAGGTGGAGCTGAGAACAGTGTGGGTGGGAGGACACAGATTACCTTTCGAGCATCTCTGGCCATGTCATCACCGGAGCAACCAATCTCTGGTTTCTTTGCTCTCTTTTCTTCATGCTCCTCTTCTTCAGAAGAGACTTCTTTGTCACTGATATTGCTGGCTAACTCCTCCAGCTTCCTCTTCAACTCCTCCTCCTCAGCATCAGGATCAAGTTGGGACTCTGGGGCTGGAGACTGAAAGAGCAGAAGGAGGGAGTGGTGTAAGAGTCCCCTGTGGTGGACAAGTCCAGACACACTAACCAAGACTGGCCAGTGGAGGACCTTGAGGAGTGCTCCACAGATGGACTTCACCAAAGGGACTTTGAGACCCCCTCTCCACACCCATTTTCACAAGGGGTGGTCAGACCTCCAGGGGAAGTAGCAGAGCCCAGTGAACTGCACTCCAGCTTCATGCTGAGGAATACAAACTCTTGATCTAAAGAATCTCCCATCCATTTTCCCCACACGCAGAACTTTTTTTTTTCCCTGTGGGAAATTGCCTTTCCCCCCTCCTTAAAAAGGTGTGCATGGTGGATTTGGGGCCAAAAATCACCGCATTTTCATTAAGAACCACTGTGGCTCAGAGAGCAGAGATCGTAGCAACCCAAAGACACAGTACACCAAGGTAAGGGAAGCAGCCACATGAACTACCGCTCCCCATGGTAGCTTTGGCAGTGTCTAGGTAATCTTCCTTGTGATGAGAAAACATGCAGCAAATTTTCCTGTAGGAAAGATAGCATATTTCTACCTGGCCCTGTTATTAGGTACAATTCGTGTTACCTTGAGAAGCATCCTTTAAACTCCCAGGCACTGGAAGGGATCCCCAGAAGTTACTGAACTCACTGTCCCTTGTGTTAAGAAGGGAATACAATTATTTGTGTCAGACCTGATGAGTTTTTGTCTAAGTTGTTCTTCACAACCTTGAACAATGGCATCTGCACAGGCAATCTTTCTCCCAGGCAACCTATTCCTGGGCTCTGCTATCCTTTCTGCTAGAAAGCTTTGCTTAATAGTTAACCTCAGCCTGTCCTGCAGCAGTTTAGACCCATTGCCTCTACTCTGATCCGCCCTAACCATAGCAATAAAGCATGGGAACCTGCAAACGTGCACATCTCCTACTCCCTTGGTGAGATTTACTGACAGAAACACTGAATGATTACAAACATGGCCATCCCCATTACAAATTTTAGAAAAAAAGAAGAAATTGCATTGTTTCATCTATGCCTAAGGGACTTCTCTGTAATTATCACTGCCCATTCTACCAAGCCGTCAGCTGCCAGAGCAGCTCATGTTGATGGGTTCACACGAAGGAAAAGAAGGGTACCTAGTCTAAAATTAGAAACCCCAAATCAATGTTAAGTGACCTAAGTATTCACAGATTCTACATTGCTGTCCAGCTCTAACTTAATTTAGCTGTTTTCTTTCAAGCTTGATGGCATGGTAAGACAAGGGCAGCTCAGAAGAGAGACAGAAATCCCTCTTGACTCAAATCTCATATTCACAATAACCAGGTGATTTCCCCATAGGTACTAATTGATTGTCCCATGATTTCAAATGAGCCGTCACAGTTCTGCAGATGTACCAACACCCACTTAAAAATACTCTTGAAATTAGCCTTTCATAGAATATTAAATTGGAATGCAATATTCCTTGTGCAGAAGGGGCAAGGAAGGTACTAGCTTGCACAGGGGCCCACATGCATGGGTGAAACTCGTTTCTGTTTCTGTCCTGCTAAGCAATGTTTTCCAAAGCACTCCATCACCTGAAACTAGAGAAGAGCCTCCGAGGCCAAAACAGAGGATTAAAATCTAACAACCCGAGTAATTTTGTGTGTTTGGCTATGTCTCCCTGCAATGCTGGCTGTTTCATAGCAGCCCCTCCAATGACAAAGGGAAGGGATCAGCACAGCCCATGCTCTCTCCCTGCAGAGAGGGTGCCCGGCTTTGCCTGGTTACCTCATCAGAGCGCACCAGGCAATTGCAGACATGCGTTTGCTGAGCTCATGAATCTAGAGAAAAGGAGAAAGAAAGAGAAAAGGAGTAGAGAACAGACCAGCCACCGCTGCCAGGGCAGTGAGAAAACAGTGCAACCATCAGAAGAAAGCAAGCAGCAAGGCACTGCCACCATGGGCTGGGTTAAAAGACATCAAAAAATAATGTCTTAAAAAAATGACCTTGGATACCCTGAAGAGCTCCAGGAGGTGCACGGCCACTCTTTGAATCTGGAAAACTCAAAGCGATGATGAGTACCCAGTACAGCGCAATTCCCACCAAAGCAGCATTGGTAGCTTTGATGCAGTGAACATAAAACCACATCACTGGACCCGTTGTGTCCCTTGTCCAGACAAAAGCATCAAGCTGTAACAAAGCCATCTATCTTGCCATCATTCACATGCTGTCCCAAATTCAAGTCAACAGCACTATTCTCTTGCTACTAACATGTTTTGCAAGCAGGTACTGCCCCATCGCCCCCCTGCTAATATGGCACTGGAAAGGAAGAAGGAAGAAAGTAAGAATTTCCCATGAAAAATTCCAGATAGAAAAACTAAGATTGAGTCTTTTCCACAACACACTTTGAAATTTTCTGACTTCTCCATGCACTGATTTACCAAGATGTTTGCCCCTCCTTTCTCCCTTACTTCCAACTGAAAAAGGGAAGGGAAGGGAAGGGAAGGGAAGGGAAGGGAAGGGAAGGGAAGGGAAGGGAAGGGAAAATCAAAGAGAAGTTGCTTTCTGTGCTCAAGAGCCATGACAAACTTTTGTGGTTAAATCACTGAAAACATAAAAGGAAGTTTGGTTTTTTTTCCCTTTTAGAGATTGACGTTTTACTTTCTTAAAAAATGAAAAAGTCTTTCTCCTTTGATCCAAACAAATAAAACACAAATGATGAGAAATATTGCCCCATTTTATACAGATAAAACACTATCTCTCACATCACTCCTGTTCTGAGTGGCTGCCTCCCATTCAAAGGGGAATGAGCAGCAAATGCAGTAAGTAAATGCACTAACAGAGATGTGAGGGCTTGGCTTTGTTTTTCTAACATTTCCATCCTCTCACTTAGTTTTTGTGCTTCCTGGTGTTTAATTAATTAGATCCTCACAACAGCTTGGAGAGATTGCATCTGCTTAAGGGAAGATGAATATAAAAACCTGACACTCGGGAGCACAGAGCACTGTAATTACCATCCAGAACTGAATGCATCTTTAAGCAGCATTAAACCCACAGGCAGGAAGCAATCCAACCCATCTCTAAGTGGTTTCTCAGTACTGTTTAAGGTCTGACTCTTGCATCGCTCCTGGTGACAATGAGAAGTCTGTGATGGGCCATCAGCTTCAGAGGAAGAGATGGTGACGAACTGAGCACTCTGCACCACTGTACCACTATAACACAGGTTCAGAGAGGTCGGACCATAATGTGCAGTTTGCTGTTGACGGGCTACAAGGACAGGAGGTGAAGACCTTGCTTTCGTTCTTCTTCCCAAGCAAGGCTGGTTTTAATGCGTAGTGGTCACCCCACGAGGGTGCATCCTCATCAGGGGCTGGACTGCTCTGTGCTGCTCTCCACTGCTCTCCACAAGACAAAGGCTAGCAAATACTGCTCTGTATTAAAACATTTAAAGCAAAGAAACTTAAAACACAGCCCATAAGGAGGACATCAGTTAGGGCAAACTGTCACTTGTTCCTGGGGAGGTAAGACAGGTTGCTCTAGCAGAGTTGCTGCCTCCAGCCTCTCAAATACCCAAGACCTCCAACAGAAGCTTTATGTAGAGAAGAGGAACCAGATGGCATTAAAGCTTCAGGAATCCAGAACCACTGAGCTCCCTTGAGGTACAGCAGAACGGCTTTTGGGGAGAAACTTAGTAAATTGGTGCTATTCCCTGTGGCTTTATCCTGTTCCTACCTTACTTCTAAATACCTAAAGGCCAAGACCTGCACAGTTACCAGTTTAGGGCTTCTTTTCATATCTCATCAGGTTTAAGAGCTTTTTTTAAAAGTTTTTTTTTTTTTTTTCTCTAAATTTTGTTCTAGCACCTTCAGCTCCTGGAGTCACAGGGCTAGGGAACAGCCTCTGATTTTGTTACTGGAAAAGTTAAGTTTCTTATGTTTGGGACTAAACAGTGTATTCTCTCCAGAATTACACCAAAAGCAATTTTCAGATCAAACATATTTTGACAAACTTGCACCTAAGGCAGTTTTAGGAAACAGGGTTTTCATCTGTGGTGTCAAAGTGGTGCGGGGCAAAAAGCTGAGCTCTCCACCTCCTAAAACCTTCAGATGCTAACAAGGTGTCTACCAGGAAAACCTTGCTTTAGAAGCCAGGCTCTGGGATTCAAAACAGGGTTAGCAAACATGCTTCTGGACCTTACACCCCACAGGCCAACATCTCGAATTGCCAAAGGGCACAGCCTCTGAGAAGTGCAGTGCCAGGGTGACCAGTCATACTCAGACATCTTTGCTGTGCCCTGGGATGTTCCATGAGGGGCTGAGATACCCCAGAAGCCCTGATGATGTCCACATCACATACCCTGGAAGCGCCTGTAAGCAGCTCAAGAGCCACCGCTTTGCTGCTCAGGACAATACAGTCTGCTGCTCGCGGTCCCAAATCCCTTGTGGCCTGTCTCTGCCCTCCTGCCAGCCTCAGCCTCTTCATCTCCTCCAACCTCAGGACAAGAGGATGGACAACAGCCTGTTCTGAAACTCTTCCAGCTCTGTGAATACAACAGAGTTGGCTAGCACTGAAGTCTGTCCAGAGGAGGACCATGAGGATAATCTGAGGGCTGGAGCCCCTCTCCTATGAGGAGAGGCTGAGACAGTTGGGGCTGTTCAGCCTGGAGAAGAGAAGGCTCCAGGGAGATAGGATTGCGGCCTTCCAATACCTAAAGGGGGCCTACAGGAGAGCTGGGGAAGGGCTTTTTACTAGGTCACATAGTGACAGGACGAGGGGGAATGGCTATAAACTGGAAGAGGGCAGGTTTAGATTAAACATGGGGAAGAGGTTTTTCACTCTGAGGGTGGTAAGGCACTGGAACAGGTTGCCCAGAGAGGCTGGTGAGGCCCTATCCCTGGAGGCATTTAAGGCCAGGCTGGACGGGGCCTTGGGCAACCTGGTCTAGTGGGAGGTGGCCCTGTCTATGGCAGGGGGGGTGGAACTCAATGATCTTCAAGGGCCCTTCCAACATAAACCATTCTATGATTCTATGATTCTTGCCTTCTACCTTCTTTGGACTTGTACCTGGCCTCTCCTTGGCCAATAGCGACAATGATGCATGCGTGCATCATTCTGAAGTTAATGGTCCAGCAGAGAGCAGGGTCTCTTCCTGCTGGTTGAGGAAAAGGCTCTGCAGGAGGGTGGTTGCTAGCTGTAAACCCATCAGCAGCACAAAGGGCAGGAAGGATGAAGAGCTATTTAAGCTAATGAATGATGTTGGCATAAGAGCAAATGGGGTTAAATTGGGAGTAAGAATATGTCTTGTAACCATTAGAGTGACAAGGCTCCACAGCAGCCTTCATACTGGTGTGACAGAGCAAACCACAAGGCATGCTGGACTGCCCTGAAGCGAGAGCTTGCCTGGCTGACGAAGGAAGTCATCTGAAGCATTGGTAGGAATTTGGCTCCATTTCCGCACTGCAAAGCACAGTGCACATTTCATGCCTAACGTACCGTGGCCTCATTAAGGATAACCAGTCCAGGGTTCTTCCATTTACCACTGACTGAAAAAGGAATGGCATTTACTAATTAAAACGTGCTGAGAGATGTAAATGGCAAAGGAAAGGTTTCCCTACACAGGCACATGAAGCATGGTGCTGAGGGATGGTTGTGGTTACAAATCCCCTCAACAATTACCCACAGGGGTCCAGGAGGTGCAGAATTACCAGCTGTGAGCAGAAACAAGCAGCGGGCTCTCCCTTTGTGTCTGTGTGGTCAAACATCACCAAGCATTTTGCAGCTTGAGAGGTCTGATGGATGCTTTTTACCATTCCCACCACCCACCATTTGCAAAGGTGGCATGAGGAACGTCAGGTCCTTGCTTGACAATTAAAACACAAGCTTGCAGCCTTTTTGACACCCTTCACTAGACCGTTCCCCCTATTAACACCATTCAGGAGAGATACATGTCAGGTCGCCTCGACCCAGTCCTACCAGGGCAAGAACACTACATACTACAAAGGAAGAAAAGGATCTTGATGCTTGTTAAATATCCCTCTCCAAACCTTGGTCTGATCATAAATCAATGGTGCATTCAATTGAAGAAAGCCTTTTTGGGGACACAGAAAACCATAGGTAACTTGCAGATTAATAAGGACAGGCTGGAATTAACAGCAGTTAAGGCAGGCTTGTTACTGCGACAGCAGCATGGGCAGAGTAAAGCACCAGCACCTGATTTTCTCTTTGCCAGAGGTGTTAAGGTGGAAGGGCTGGAAGGAGGAACTGTGAGAAGGAGCACAGGGCTACAGAGTACTTCTGCATTATCCTAACAATGCAGAGAAAAGTCTGTTCTTCCTCACCTTAATGAATGGAGGAGCCTTGAATGCACCTTCCCAGGTCTCAGCCCTGCTCTCAATTCACAACCACCTTGGCAGGTCCCTCACAACACGGAGGGCAGGACATGCCCTGGGCATTCATCTTGTTGGTGCCGTACAACTGTGATGTGACATCTAGATAAGCCAGCTCCTATGTCATCCCACAGGCCCTCTTTATTGCTCTGGCAATGTAAAATGGCTACACCCCCAGCTTCTTCAGTTCCTGAGCTGAAGAGGAAGAGGGATCTTGAGTCTACAGAGATCTGGGATCCACTCTGCTCACTCTTGGACCCGTACATGGGAAGTATAGGCTCCAAACCACCCCTGCACAGAAGGGGCAATGGTTGTGTGGATACCTAGAGCACACCAGCTTTTCTGCTCGTGCTCCACATCAATCCTGGCTGGGAGACTGATTGCTGTGGTTGCACTCCTGTTGGCCATCACTGCTTTTCTTCTGCTCTCAACCAGGTGGCACCATCCTGCACCTCACAGATAACAAGCACCACTTATGGCAAGAGAAGCTTGGCTGCAGACTTGGTCTCAAAAGAAGTTTAATAGCTGTTTGGTACCTGATTCCCAGAGTGACTGACGTTATCCTGGGAGGAGGCTCTGCTCCGGCGTTTCGTGTGATGGGGCGGGTAGGTGGGGAACTGGGCTCCCTTCAAGTCCTCATCAGAGGTATCCATATCTGCAGAGTACCGGGACTGGGACTGCTCATTCCTGGAGCTGCCTTTGGAGAGAGAAGGCTTCAACACAAAGGCACAAGAGATTCACACCCTTGAGTTCCTTCCCAGACATCAGTCCCATCCTTAAGACAAGCAAATAATGAGACACTTATTCAAATCACACTTTCTATCCTTTTGTGGGAGATGCTTCTGCAAGAGAGACTGAGGTTAAGGGTGGCTACTCTGGGTCAGGCTGCAGCTCCATCCACTGTTGCTGCAACAGCAGCTAGCTCAGCAGGGTCCTGCACAGCACTGCTGAGATAAGGGTGGGCACAAGGAGCATTGTCCTTGCTCTTGCATGCTGCGAACAGCCGGGCCACTCACCCAAAACTGCTATTGCCTTCCCAATTTTATTGGAGCCCAGGTTTAGACACTACCCTTCATGCATTATCCAGGTGCTGGAAGATGTTTAACTCAGGCTAGAGAGGTACCAGTCTAGGATGGAACATTTAAAAGAGCAGAAATTCTCCTTTTTAAAGGAGAGTTTCAAATGAGACAAAAACAATGAAAGAAAATGGAATTAACGCACCAGAGGAGCCTGCTGCTGTGTCACCCCAGAAGGGCTCAGAGTGGGAATTTAAGCAGTGCACAGTAAGGTTTACCCAACGTTTCTGAGTGCCCTGAAAATGCAGCCAAGAAGTTGGGGACTCAGAAGGATATATTCTACAGCTGCATGTGCACAAGCCACTATCCAACCCTCCTGGCTTTGCTATCACAGAAGGAAAACCAGAAGCAGTAAAAGGCAAATCCTACACCTCATTTGCTAGGGTATTTATAGACTCACAAAACCACAGATCCTGTAGCCTGCTGGTACCCCTGCCCAGCTATAAGGATGCTACTAAGCAATTCCCAGTGCTTGCCTCCAGTTTTTGTCCAGTCTTACTCCAGTTCAAGTCCCTTTAAAACTGCAAGCTTTCTGAACCCACACCATCTTTTGGCAAGGAGTTCAACTCATCTGTCACTGCCTGCAGGAGGAAACACATCACGTTGTTTCTAGTAGTGTCATTTGATTGTATCTAGTTTCTACCCTGGACAAGACCTCCAGATATGAAAGGGATGGACACATTATGAAAAACCCCTCTGGCTTTGAGAAATTAGTTTGTTGGGAACAAGACCAGCCCATTACAAACAAGTAACTTCAGCTGATTCCTTCATGAGAAAAAAAAATCACTTTTGCTGATGGATATTTTGTCTTGACACCCAAGATTTTTAGTGGCTTTGAGGTTGTTCAGAAAATCAAAGACGTTTTCATATTGGTCAAAGTCTTGCAGCCACTTTTCCCCAAGATACAAGAGGAACCTGGCCAGAGATACCTACCAGGTTTTGCATTTCTTTCCAGGCTCCTTCTCCGTGAATTGACGGTGAGCCGAACCTCTGTGCTGAAGTGCTGCTCCGGAGGGCTCACACCTGGTCGCTGTTCCTGCAAGATGTGGTGGAAGACCAGATCTGCCTCTGTGATCCTGGACTCCGTCTGGGAGGCATCTTCAGCTGAGTTGGGGAAATCTGGGAAGGACTGAGAGATAAGGATTGCTGCTGAGCAGTTGCCCACAAGGTCTCCCTGCCTCTCCTGATCTTCGCTAACAGCTCCTAGCTTTATCCTCCAATACACGTGTGGATTGACCTTTTGTAATGCCAGTTTCTAATAATCCGTTTTAAAGGCTTATTTATTTTGCTCATGAACCCTGGGCAATACTTCTCATCACTGCCAGGGGGCACTGTGAATTTTTACATGAACTAGGCACAAAGTCCCTTCAGCTAGGCTGCATAAAGCTCTAGTCTTTTAAAACACCATACCCTTTCGCTTATTCAAACAGTAGCCACCTTCTGCCCCTCAAATAATCTGCAACTGATAAATCTAATTCAGATGATCTTGACAGAGGCCAGCCCTCCCTAGACTCCCCTCAAATTCTCCTGCATGATGACTGGCTTAGATATAGAAAGAACGAATCTGCTTGGGTGCGCCCAAAATTCTTATCAATTTGTATATAATGATGTGATTTTTTTTTTGTTTGTTGGTTTGTTTGTTTGGGTTTTTTTTAAAGCCTTTGCTACACATCTTGGGCCCCCTAGTTCTACCCGGGGCTACAGTTTAAAGTTTAAAGCTGCTTAATATTTTAAAGTAAAATTTCAACAGGAAAGACAAACGGAAGCAGCCCAAAAAGCTTCATCTGAAGCAAGTCAGGCTGGAAGACCTTTTGCCACATCCAGGGTGGATGTTGCTCCCTAGAGCTGGAAGCTGGGGATGGCTGACCCCAAGTCCTTGCAGGGATCACGAGCAGCAGCTCACTGCAGTGGCTGGTGCTAGAGCTGCCTGGGGATTCTGTTCCTGGTCAGGAGATCGGGACACTATGACGTATATAGTCTCCTATACAGAAATAACCAGTGTTCATGCAGTTTTTGTTCCCCCTGTGTTCTCCCCTCTGACTGATGGGGACCTGCACCCCTCAGGTGCCATCCTTGCAGTCATGCTGGCTCTGCAGGATTCATCTTCTCAATCTCAGAAGGGTAGTGTGTCCCTGACCAATTACATCCCCAGTGCCACCACAAGGCAAAACTATCTCCAATCTGGATGGGATGATGGGAGAGGAGTCTGGTTTCATTTTGTCACTTGAGTACCGAACCTCCAAATTCTCACTGGAAATTAGGGTGTCCCCAGAGCCTTGGGGCAACATAAGAAAACTGTTGCCTGCAGAGAGCCTCTTGCTATCTCATTTCACCACTCATCCTCACTTCAGTCCTACTGACTCACCCCAAGGCAAAGGACTTGAAATGGGAGGAGAGATAGCAAGCGGGGTTATGGGGGTTGAGGATCAGCACCATCATGTCTCAACACCAGCCGAAGGTAGCAGAGTTAGCAAGGAGGAAGAGGAGAGGAAAGGAACCCCCCAGCACTCTTCCAGTACCTGGAAAGCATCCGGGCTGCTGGCTGCTGGAGAGAGCTGCACAGACTGGCGGCGAGACTGAGCAGAGTACTCCGAGTCCAGTTCAAAATCAAAGGGATGGACAGACAGCAGGCGCTTTGTCTTGCGCATCTTAGCGTAGGAAGTGCAAGAAAGGAAAATTCACCATAAAACACAGTTGACCTTGAAGAAAGGGGGAGGGAGGGCCCTTGTCTCCTTCGTTTGCCTGAGCCTGCACAGCCTAAAGCAAGGCTCCTGCTTTTTGCAGAGAAAATTTGCGTCCAACGTTGTCCTGCTTGCAGGGAGCCAGGTATATAGGACAGTGTGTGCTTATGCTGGGGTCAAGGAACAGTGGGTTCCTGATTTCCACAGTCTCTGGATCAGGACTGTGGCCATGAGCAGACAGTGAGAAGCTCTCTCCTGGTTTATAAAGGCACTATGGGAAAGCCGAGCCAGGTTACAGCTCAGAGGGAGATCCAGAAGATGCTTTTGAGTCCTGAGGCATCTCCCCATCTTCAGAGAAGGGATGCTGTGGGCAGATCTCACTGGATATTTGGGAGGTCATCATCTGCCTTGGGGCAGGAGCAGCTTGGACAAGCCTCTAAGACTTCAAAAGCAGACCATAATGAATAACCAAGTGTGTGAAATGCAGCACACACCTGTAGCTGCAGCCTGAGATGGTATGTGTGTAACAGCATGTATGTAACCATATCAAGCATTTCAAACACATCGTCAGATTTCACAGATGCTTCAAGGACAAATACACTTCCTATCAGGCTTCTTAGTTTGCATTTCAATGTATACACATAGTCCCAGAAAAAAAAAAAACAACCAGGAGATAAATCAATGAACCCAGCTGTGCTTTGCTACTCTACCACATATCTATTCTTCTAGTAAAAAAAACAGGTGGGTTCTCATTACATGGGTAGGAGCTGGGACTTTTACGTTAATTAGGGACTTTTGTACTGTCAGGAGCGGGTCTTTTTTTCCAGAGGGCAAGTATGTGTGATTTTACTGGTTTGGTTGTTTCTATGTGAACTGGGAGAAGGACTCATCTCCGAGAAGGAAAACAGAGAGAAAGGCCCCCTTTTGAATGTGGCACAGAAAGCCACCACCACCACCACCACCACCACCACCCAAGGCAGGCCAGCAGCAGCTGAGGGCACAGAGTGAGGCAGGAGGGAACCCAGAACAAAATGCTTACTCTGCTGAAGCACTCTGCTTCAGCTCCACGAAGGACATCATCTTCATCATCGCTGTCGTCCCCAATACCACCACTAGTGAGGAGCTGGCATTCACCTAGAGGGGAGACAACGGCATGCTGTGTATGGGAAGCTCCTGCACCCCATTCTTGGGGGAGGTAAGTCCCCACCATGGTGGTCACACCAGTACACCTGTAGGTGAGGCCATGCTTCTTATATGGGGTGAAAAGCTACAGATTAGAAATGTCTTCCACTTTCTTTCCTTTTTTTTTTAAAAAATTTTTTTTTTTTTTTTTTTTTTGCACACTACACTGTGGCCAGTAGGTTGCACAAGTAAAGAGAAGGGACAAAGGATGGGAAATGGACAGTAACATCTTAAGGTAACCCAGTCCTGCAGTTGACACACAGTGAACACAGTCTAAGGTCTGCAGGGTAGAAGCTTTTTGGGGTACGGTTCCTAGGCAGCACTGCAGACACCCACTCTTAGCACTTGATCTTGCAAAAGCTTGGCTAGCCTCTCATTGCTTCCCCTTCCAGCTGCGCTGCACCACAGATGTAGAAGTGACCACCGCAGGAAGATGAAGGACACCTGCACCACAGAGAGCACCCCGAGGTCCACCTGGGTGACTCCAGTGTCTGAAGGCACTACAGCTCAGCCCAACACGGCTCTGCCTCTGCTTCTCAACCAGTTCCACTATCTATCAGTGACCTGTTCCTTGCTGGGTCCCCATCTCTGTGCCTAGATCCCTGACAAGCCCAGTGGTACACTGGGAACAGCACAAATGCCAGACTGAGTCCGAAGTCAAGGTAGGTAAAATGAGGTGTAGTGAATCCTTCCTGCAAGGGTTCCTAAGTAACACAACTTGAAGTCCCAAATTCAGTGGGTTCCATAAGAATATGGCCAGCTTTAAGCATATGGTGTAGGTGCATTGAGATGATGAGTACTTGCAAGCTTCAAGTTTAACATGTAACTGAGAGTCCTGTTGTATCCAAGCCTACCCTTGGAGATCCCAGGTATACTGCAGTGCAACAGATGAGCATTACAGTCCACCTCCACTGCAGTGGAGAGATGTCCTCCCTGGTGCAGCCACACCAAACCATGCTGGAGTGCCCATAGCCAGAGGGTGTGAAGAGAAAAAGACATTGGAAACCTCTCTTGAACTGCAAGCCACATTCTGCAATTCTCTTTTTTACTTACTGTTAATGTCTGGCAGGCTGTAAACTCTGTCATGAAGACCTAAATGAAAAGAAAAATAGTGGGAAAAATAAGCAAGCGCATTTTCTCCAGGTACCTCACAAAGAACAAGACTCAGAGCTGTGGTTAACTGGAGTTCTCATTCTCTAGCCATCACAAGGCACAATCATCGAAAAGGCTCTTTAGAGAGAACAAAACAGGCACTTGGAGGTGGGACTTGACTTTTAAAAGTCGAAGAGCTTATTGCCACCGCTTCCACAGTCCTGATGCAACACGCCTGGGAGTGCAGCAGCAGGGGATGGCACAGCCAACAGCAGACGGTCACACAAAATGCAATGGTCTCACGTCATTCTGCTGTACCTCCTGCAACCAGATATATATCCCAGGAGGAGATTCTTGCTTGTTCAAGGGTCAAGCCAATTCACTGGTGTTAATGAAGTAATAACAACAAAATCATGTCTTTTTGAAAAAGACATCAGAATCTCAATTTAAAGAAGCCTAAAGCACTGTTATCCTCACGCTTGGTTTGGTTTTCTCTTGGATTGTCCTTTCTGTGTGATCTGATGCATTTTCAGACTGAATGCTGCATAAATTGTCCCTCGGTCCATTGATTTTATATTCAGTGCCACTACTCTCGACGCTATTTCTGGAATTTCTGACATGAGTGGTCTGGATAAAAGAATGATTGGACCAGTTGAATCAGCTCATGGCTATGGTATTTGTGCAAACTTTTCTGTGGCTCCTCAAGATGGGAATAAAACCCACATTGATTTTCTGAGGCAACAGGCAAAGTAGTGCAGGAGCTGGATGGGTGCCAACTAGCAGCTACCCAGTAACTAATTCTCTATTAACAGCTTTCAGCATATATTTATGGACTGTTGGACCAATCTCAGAAATAATGAAGATCCATAAAATCTGAAGAACATAGCTATGATGACAGCTAACTCACTATTTTTGATACAGTTTTGTCAGTGCCAGAGCATCATCAGATTGGCTGTAAAAATCATCAGATCATGGGAAATACGAGTGCTGGCTTTATCCAGCCAGCTGGATGTTTTGGATCTGCAGGTTAAACTTGGGTTAATTTCACAACTTCTCCAGACTGCAGGACATGAGACTTTTAAAACTAAACATGAGATATTCTCAAGCCTGTAGTAAAACCTTAAACTTTAACACAGGAAAAAAAATCCACCAAGAACATCCGCTCTGCTGCTCCCAGTATGAATACACCGTTTTGAACCTCCACTTACTCCCCAAAATGTTTTGCAGTCTCGAAACCACATGGCACTCAGAGCAGCATCAATGCTGATGTTCCCCCCTTGGTGCACATCCCAACACAGTCCTGCACACCCTGTGCACAGTGGGGCAGGAGAAACCCCAGTGCTCCTCCTCACCTAGAAGTGTGGAATTCACTGCTTGCCCTGGCTGAAGCCTGCCGTAGAGAGACTGCAGCACTTTGGCACTTCCAAACCTCTTAAAACGGGATCGCACGTGTTCGTAGTACCACTCCAGGGAACCGATCTTCACGATCCTGCCCAAAGAGAGGATGCACATACATGTGAGCCAGTCCAGTCAGGTTCATGGTGACTGGACCCTCACACAGAAACCGTCTCTTAACAAAAACACAGCCTGTTTTCTAACCAGCATAATTGGTTTCGAACCAGCATAAAGGGATGCTGAGTTTGGGCGGCTCTTCTTGAGCCTCAGCCCCAAGGCTTGCCTTGCCTCTCACCCTCTGTTGCAGGAGCACTACCTGGAGAGTCGGCAGGGATCGCAGACCCAGCCTTGCTCCTTCTTGTTGTAGCGGCTGCAGTTCTTGCAGGTATAGAAGTGACAGTCCAGGCACTGGCGCTTGCTGTTCAGCAAGAATTTGAAGGGCTGGAGGCAGTGGACGCAGTGGGTTTCATTGAGGTGGGACTGATTCGTCAGAAACTCTCTCTTGCTGCTCTCCTGGTCGATCTTGCATTTCAGCTCCCTGCCGAAAACATCCCAAAACACAGAAACTTGGTTTTGTTAGCATTTCACTGCAAACTCACATGTGGCAAACCCCGGCATGCTTCCATCATTTCAGGAACAATTGAAGATGTAGAGTCCCTCAGTTTGTGGAAACAGCTGTAGGCCAAATCTAATAAATAACATATCATGAGTTAAATGAACTGAGCAAAGAAGGCGGCTCCAGATTCAGTGCAGGTTTACTGCAGATTAGTATCTGCCACTGTTAAATTTAGGATTAGATTTGGTTGTGCCAAAACCTGTCCCGTTTACTTCACAGGGCATTGAATCCCAGGAACCTCAGGGGAGTGACTCTTGAAGTCTCATCTGCATCCCAACCCAATATGATCTCTGAGCCTGAAGTCCAGCTGTAAATTAAAAGCTTTCTGGAATTCTCAGTTTTTTAAAAAAAGCAATCAGAGTAAAAAGGATTAAAAGGAGCTTTGGTCTAGTCCTTCAGTGCTAAATTCAGCAGACTTGTATTAAGGACAGTAGTGATGTGCAACGAGGCTATTCAGAGGACAGCAGCTGGAGGAAATGCTCACAATGGTCCCATGAAAATGTGGCCAACGCGAGTGCTTTCCAAGAGCACCTTCTTCTGGCAGCCCATCACTACAGGCTTCCTTTGCTATCCAGACCCAGCTGTTAGAGCATGTCCCCACACAGGAAGGTGCCTGTGCGAGGCCAAACCCCCAGTGACAGCCAGGGACAGCCAAAACACCTGCTGAGCTGGCAGGGGCCTGCTGAGCTACCCAAAGGCTTTCTGTTTGTTCCCCATGCTATGCACTACCTCAGGTATGTTTGCCTTTTGGGCTATGGCTGAGAGGCAATGTTTGACTTGTAGGTAAGGTCCTACAAGGTTGTTTTCTGTCTAGGCAGGGTTACGAAGCTGCATTTTCCAGAGCAGAAGTCAACCTGGGCCAAAAAATCTCAAGTAATCAGGTTTGGAGGCTGCTTCGGGAACACAGCGTGGATCAAAAGCTTCTGGTGATGCTCCTGGTGCCCCTCAGCTGCCAGGGAGATGGATCAACACCAGGGTGACCACAGCAGGAGCCTTGCTGATGTGGCAGCGCGGTACTGGGACATCCATGGGAGCAGTGATATGGCCGGTGGTGGGAACGACATGAATAAAAATCAAGCTAATCTCTGTTTAACTAAATCAGTTTGCACATTAGGGATCAGCTCTTGGGCGTTTTTTTTTTTTTTAGCAGGAGGCTTTTAATACCAGCTTGCTGCTAGCACACAAGGCTGCATTCGCTCTTACACTGGAACGACACAAACTTGCATTAACTGAGGATCTGGCACATGTAAAAATCAGTATAAAGACTGAACTGGGCACGTAGTTTTTATATTCATCTATTCAATCATCCTAGCAGTGTTTCTAACAACCTAGTGCAAATCTTCAGCAGTAAATTTATATGTGGCTACTAAAAACAAACCCCCAAAGAGAAAATCCTTGGGTTGGGCTCAGTGCTCCTTTTCCACTCCTGTGCTAAGGCTGTTTCCAGCAGGATCCAATCTTTCACGGGACTGCTTTTTCTGGTTCCCAGAGAGCGTTCAGATTCCTTCACGTCCCCTCCCTCGCCCAAAAGACCTGCTGAAGGAAGGACAAGTCTCAGCCAAACCAGTTTAAAACCCGCAGGAACCACACACCTCTTGTCTCCTCTTGCTGGCAGGAGCACAAGCCAGCCCTTTCCCAACTCTGCTCATGGCAAAATAAGTCAGCGGTGGTGGGATGCCAAACTGCAGGAAGTTTGGTCCAGCTGAGCTCCAGGAGAGACTCGGGGAGCCAGCCCCCCAAAATAGGATTGCTGGCAGGGATGTTTATGTAAGGAAGCAAGGAGAGCCCCCACAAAGTGGCCATTATTTAATTTCTTGGGCAAAGCATTAATTACCCTCGCATGGTTGTGCAGTTTCTGGCCAGCTGAAGCCTTTGTCCATTGTTGGCGAATAGCTTCTGCCAAAAGGAAAATGCAGAGAAGCAGCAGAAAGGGAAGAAAAAGACCAAGCTGGGGGGGAACATTTCTTCAAGGCTTGCAGGTTGAGACAAGCCCAGTGAACAGAAAAATGAATGAATAGAAAAGCAAAAGAAAATGGTCAGAGCACAGGGTGAATGGCTGCAGGGTCTCCCATAACCTCATATCATGTCCCAGCTTGTTATGGGCAGAAAATGCTCACATAGCTCCGTATCCAGCATGCAGGAGTGCGGCAGACTTTCCCAGACTGGTGGTCTGGTCTATGCCAGGTATTACAGAAATATCTGATATATGGCCTTAGCTGAGCCTGCAGAGAGAGGCAACCAAGCCTTGGTCCACGTATCATGCTCTACCCCTGAGACCTGGGCAGTGCCAGGTACCGCTGGTGTAATGCCATCCCTCCACGGGGCAGGATTAAACAAGAAAATTTTAAAAAAAAGGCATGACTGCTGGGATAGAGGGAAAGCTGCTTATGGCGACAGCAGCCAGGGTAGAAGCATCCTGAGACCTTCCCCCTGTTTTGCACCTCCCATACCATGGCACTCAATCTGGGAGCCTCCTGGGCATTACAGTGGACCCAGACAAGCCAGTCTGGCGCCAAGGTCAGGAATTCACCTCGCCCACTTCTTTGCTGCAGGGTACAGCAAAGTGGCTCCCCACCTCCTTGCTCCAGGCAGAGCTCAGATCCACCACAAGGGAGACATTCACCCTTTCCAGGGTGATAATTTTTTTAAACACCCTTGTCTGATCTCCATCCTGCCCTTCAGAGCTACCAGCAGAGGAAGGCAGTAGCTGATGATACTGAATTATCTCTGCCTCCCACACAGGCTGGTTTTTCTTAGGCAAAAAAATAATCTAGAGGTTCAAAAATATTCAACTGAGAGCTTCTCATGACTAGTGGTGTAAACTGAGAGGCTCCCACAGCCTTGCATAGAAATCCACGATGGCAAGCTTTTGGGGGATGCTTCAACAGCTCAGATGCAGATACCCCAAACGAAGAAGGATGACTCTCACCCCTCACCTTTCCCTTTAGATCTGATAGAAGAACTAATGAGCTCCTGGTCCCTGGGCATTAGTGCACCATCAACACCAGCCCTGGCTCACAAAATTCAGAACTAGGAGGGTACAAGGGCTCAGTGGGAGCGCAGCAGTGTCCAAACCATCCTGGGAGCATGCCCATCCTGTAGGGATAATAATGAGAACTTGGCCAGACCCTGAACAGGGACACTGCAGCTTCTTGAAATCAAGTTAAGAAATTATTAAGTTCAATGCTTGACGTAGTTAACGAACAAGGCCTAAAATCCCACAATTTCTCATGCTCAAAATTTAATCTAATCTGTCTGAACATTTTTTAAACAGCACTTTTGTCAAATGCCCTGTTTATAAGGACTTAGAAGATACATCCATTTGCTGCTACAGTGATTTTTAATCTGTAGCCCCCTAAAACTTTCGCAGGACAGCATGGTCCCCTGTATAACATATTTAAGGCTACTACAGCAGGTTTACTACTCCTTTCAGTTATTTTTCCAGGATCCTCCAGGAGTCTGTGGACTTCCAGCACCTGCTGAATCACTGAAACAAAAACAAGGGAGCCAAATCCCATTCTTTGCTCCAAGGTGAAGTCTCCCTGTGAGAACCACGCCAGCGTCAAGCCCCACAAAGGCATTTCCTGAGCAGGGGCCAGATATTTGTTCCCATAAACTGCCGTAGTGACACCGATCTGCATCACCACCGATGGCACGGTGCCAGTTTGCACCTTTGCAGCCCCAACGCGTCACCTTGCTGCTGATAACATAATCTATTAACCACTATGTTTGATTTTCACAGCCAGATCCTGGCTTATCCTCCTCGCCCGCAACCTCAACGCGTTGTTTTATTCCTACAACCCATATGCAGCTGGAAGTACAGGGATCTGCTGCTACAGCTTGCTTGCACCCAACCTCATGGACCAGGGAGCAGATACTCACTCCAGCCGTTCCTCCTCTTTTTTCCGCAGATCAAAGTCCCGTTGAACGACTTCCCAAACATGCTTGGCCTCCTCATCGGTGAGCTTGGAGAGGTCCAGCTTCCTTCCCATCTTGTCCCAGCAAGTCGAACGCGGTCCCGTTACTCGCTACCCCGAGCGCTCGCTCTCCCGCACCCTGGGATGCTGACGGAGGGGGAAGAGCTGAGCCCCACCTCTGTGGCTGCCCATATAAATGGGCAGAGGCAGAGCTGCGGGCAGGCCAGCCGGCTCCTGGCAGCGCCGCAGCCGGTCTGCTGGGTGAGCCTGCCCGTGGAGACGGGCGGCGAGCAGGACTGGCGCGATGCCTATCGGCTGCGAGGACTCCCCGTCACCCGGGCGGGCAGCCCTGCCTTCCCCCGGGGTCCTGCCCAGAGCTGCAGGCTGCTCCCAGACCTCGTCCGCCTGGCTGGGGTTAAAGGAGATGTTTACACTCAGTGGAGCTGCCTGCTTTATGCGGGGTGTGCGAATCAAACGAAACCTTCAAACGCCTCCCCGGGGAAGGCAGGCCACGGGGTTTGGGAGGGGGCTGAGCATCCCCGGGAGGAGCTGTGCCTGCGCACCCAGGGAGACCAGCTCCGTCACCGTGGGTCCTGCCCCACCACCAGCCTCCGCTCCCCTGCTGCTCGCTCCCCGGCTCTTTCTTCTCTGTCTGATCTCATTAAACCACTTCCCCCCCTGCCCCACCAACAGCTTTGTAAGGAAAAATCAAGAGCATCTGGCTTTCCCCCACAGAGTATTGCCACAATGGGGACTGGCCTCCCACGTTTGCTAACCACTCGCACAGCGATTTGGGAAGCTGAGCTTTGCTTGTAGCCAACAGCTTAATTAGGACACAATGCTGCCCTCATTTACAGTTAGCAAGAAAAGATGGTTTGACAAGATTTTCAGAAAAATGCTAAACACATCACACACCCAAAGGGATATATAGTGCAATAATCCAACTACCAAAGCTCTTCTCTTGTTCAGTAAAACACTCCCTGTGTGTCTAAGCAGGAATTCCCCGGACCTTGGCTATTAAAAGGAACCTGTTTCTCTTCTTCATCAGAGCAAATATTGATACTAAACACATATTTTTTTTTTTCCTGACAGATATCTAAACAGAGGGCAAGACCAGAGAGGAAAATTATTCTGCCTGGTGGGACTAGCCTCCCTGCTGCTCAGACTCTGTGCCTGCTCACGGGTGCAAGGCATTATACACCCCGGTAACTCACTTGAAACAAAGATTTGATTAAACTCTATGAACAGAGCCAGAAAAGGATTTTGAATCCAAACTTGGACAAGTTTTGTGCATAAAAGGTGATGATTACAGATGCAATATTGAGCTTGGATATCAGGAATGCACGGTCTTTGCTGGAAGCCAGAAATTGATTTCTAGCTCCTCTTCCAGTGGAGATGCGGTCCCGGCAAAAGCAATTAGTTTATTGGCAGGAGCCAGACATCAGTTGAGCTGCTCCTTATGTAAGCACATTTGAGCGCCCGTGTGCACCCTACTGAATCCGAACGGCAGAGTGGGTCAATAGGTACTAATTAACATCACAACAAGACCCTGTTGCAGGGCCTGTCAGTACAATCATGCCAGGAGCTCCAATGCTGGGGTTTGCGCCACCCAGATCCAAATATTTTCTTCTCCAAAAGGATAAGGAGGTTGCATAAAATCAGGAAGATGTGGCCTGCCATGCAATGAAAATGTGAAAAATACAAATGCTCAGCAGTGCCAATACCCTCAAAAAGTGCTGATTTAGCCAGAACACCACTGTGTGGGAAACATCCCAGGTGCAGGTCCACAGAATAAATTTCAAGTATTATGTTGGCCTGGGAACTGTGTCTCTTTAGGGAAACTCTCCTCCCCCAGCTCAGTGGTGTATGTACCAGGAAAGAAAGACTTTTTTTTCCCCTCTTTCAAAGCAGTTTGTTGAATTTTGTAGCGGT